AGTTAAACTATTAAGCAATCACTTCACTTGCACACTTAAAACGAATGTTTTTATAACATCTTGAGGATGAAGGCTCTACAGACTAACATTTTAAGAAACTCTTCAATTCCTTGCACATTTAGCAGAAAAAGAAACAATCTAATATTAAAAGCTTGGAACTAGTGAATCACAAAGTCTATATGATGATTCAAATGAACACAGGGACTGGTATTTTTATATTATCCCTCCACACTGTGTGGTCTGGTATTGTGCTAATTCTTCCTACGAGCAGTTCTGTACTCCTCCATCCCAAACCACATTTCCATTGTTCCCCATCCTGCTGAACAAAAGCTCCCAACATCCTAAACAACGCAGCAATCCGCTGTGGTATGCAATAAGGGGATAAAGGAACCCCAGACATTTAGACCTTAAAACAGAATTGGAAATGGATCAGTGAAGAAAGCAAGGCAAAATCCTATCGCTTCAGCCTCTTACTTGGAATATGGAGATCTGGTTCCTACTCCAGACGCTCCAGGAATATAATGGTCTGCCAGAATTACTGGTGTGAATTATCTGAAGTGGACTGGATGGGACTGCATAAATATAATGGGTGTAGAGCCAACTGCTACTTCTCTGCTCAGGCGTAAGGATTTCTAAGTTCAAGAGCACGTATGGTCATTATGGGAAATCCTTCACTTCATACTCTTCTAGAGAGTAGAAGTCCTTCTTGCTGACAATTTCTCCCCTTACAATGGAGTGTACCGTGGCTGCAAATATGCAATATATTTAATATACAACCTCTTGGTTTTCAAGAAATACGGGGCCTTAAAATTAGAGAGCTACATTTGCAGTTAAGTGTTCCTTCACTGACCTGCAATTAGAAGAGGTAATGGCAGATTAAGGTCATTTTTGTAACAGCCACGTGCCAAGGGTGTAAGATGCTAAATTCACATCGGCAAACAGCCAGTACTACCACAGTTGTCACTGCGATTTTGCTGATGTCCTCCACAGTGAGACTGTTGTCTTGGTGCCAAAGCCACAGGTATTGCCAAAACACTGGCAGAGATCACAGCTGAAGAGTTCAGTCTTCTTCATAGGAGCTCTGATGGAAGCAGCTCAAAGCTCACTTCTCCCCTGTAAGAGGGCAGGTCTCTGCCACACTGTGGCAAGCACTAAAAATAGGGCATTTCTCCACATTCCGCCCCTCCTGCCAATATTTCTTCAATTTCCTCCTCACTGCAATATGGAATCACAAGGAAATAAAAGGAATGAAATAGAAACAAAAACCAATGAGCAACCTGTTTCCCCCAAGTATTAATTCTACCCTCCCATCCCGTGAGATCGAGGTAGGATTCAAACCCCAAAGACTGTTAGAAGCAAGAAAGGCCAGCTCCTCAAAGATCAAACCCCTTTGGGCTGTGCTGGATTCTCAGGAGGGGGAAGAAAACAACTTAGTGCCTTGAAGAAAAGTGAAGAATTCTCTGTCTCTGCTCAGAATCAGCATAAAAAGTACATGCTTCTCTTCTCTGGTATGAGAGTGCTTTTACTCAACAGATAAATTCAGAGCTGCTGAATTTCTCTCTGAACTCCAGTGATCTATTCATACATACTTAGATAAGGGAAAGAAACAACAGTAAAACCATCTCCGTACCCACAGTGAGAAAACAGTGATAATATCAGCTCTTGCATTGCTGAGCAGGTTGAGCTTACTACAGCTTTCCCAGGGTGCTGCTTTCCTCTGCTGCCGTTACCTGTTATTTTAAAGATGGAATCTAACGCTCAGGGAATGACACCACCAGCAATGGGAGATCCAGGAATAGCGTGGGCAGGTGCTGTGCACAACTTTCTCCCACAACTCTGCCAATCAACCTCAAGCCTGACTCATCTTCTCTCAACATTGTATTTTCCTGAAACAGAGATTAACCGCTGTGCCAAACTGTACGGGGTAAAGTTCCGCTGGGAATCAGAATGACTGTAGACAGATTTTCCCCATCAATCACTCAGGACTTGACATCTGTGCTGTCAGAGCTTGAAGATGGGGGTCTAAGATTGAACAATAAAACAATAAACTTCTCATTAAAATTACTTCACCTATAAACATAATTTCTGCAAAAGAGGAAGAAATTAATCCCAGCTCCAAGAAAATAAATATCCTTTTTAAGGCTTGTCTGTCTTTCATCTCTGCAATAATATCTAAACAGCAGCTGCTTTTAATCAAATTAAGTTGTAAAACTAAGGTGTGTTATGAATTTCATTGTTCTTCTGCAAGAGCTAATCCAAAGTGCATCTGTCAACAGCAACATCTATTTTCGGTTCATCTCAAACTATTTCAAGGACAGTACTGGAAGGTATTCAAAGAATGGCAAAAGGAGCCAAATAACATTTTTATTGTTGCAATTTCAACACTTACAATCCTGCATATCAGCCTAAAAGTAGGTGAGCTGTGAGCCAGGCCAGAAGACTACTTATCCATGATTAAGTGTCACTGTGAGGTGTTAATATGGAGAGGCATATAAAAACTTAGTTGGCAACTTTGTAAAGATAAAATAAAGGCTTTTTATTTAAAGAAGAAGTTGAGTTATTTATGCAGTAAACAGCTAACGGCAAGTGCTGTTTGGAAGTTCCTGCAAGTGTTTTTTCCTCCTGTAAAAACCACTCCAGGCTATTTCCTGAAAAAGTCTGTCATTGTGATGGATGGAAACATGCAGGGAAGCAAAGACAAATTTCAAGAAGCGTTTGGAGGAGGAAAAGTTATTAACCCAACTTAATGTATCATTTAACAAAAGTAGCCAGGATAAATTTTTGATGTGTGGCAAACATTTTAATCAGTCTGACTTTTTCATGAAGGTCACACAGAGTCTTTCAAGGTAAGGGCATATGCACAAGCTACAGCACAGCAAGTTGGACTATGTACTTGCATGGTGTCACATCGAGCCAAAAACCCATGGGCATGCTCTTACCCTGGTGTAAACATCAGGTACATTGAAACAGCTCTCCCTTCAGTGCAAGAGAGGTTGGCAAATTTGTTCTTACTTTGGGCTGCCAAAGGGTAAGAGCTTAACCTCAGGTACTACAAAGCAGCTGCTCTACCATAAATTTATTTAGCATAGTAACCTTTATCACTGAGCCACACTCGCACTGCACAGTGCCTATGAAATACTGTGAAGTGGATCCAAAAGAGGAAAAACCAGGCTCTGGCATTTTCCAATTGCCTTTAATTCAGGTTCCATATACACATGACACCTTACACTTCAGTTCAAGTCTTCTTAGCTCAGTTATGTTCAAAGACTGCTGAAGAACAACAACTCATTAAAGTTTCATATATGCTATACAGACAAAGGGAGGAAGATTGCTGTCGTGGTAGGTATTTCTTCAGGTATATAAGAATAAAGGAAGAACCTTGGCAGGAGACGTGCCTTTCATTAAGGACATGGATCAGGACAGAGCCAGCAACATTTTTCTTTACTACTTTGTAATTCTGATGGAAATTCAAATTATGAAATAAATTCTGCAGTGGTGTTCATTCTCCTGTAATCAGCAATCTTTGCCTATTCTCAGTACAATTCCAGCATTCTTAATTTTGAGTTTCTTTCCCAGTTCCCTGCAATGTTGCAACACCTATGTAAGGCTACCATCTACCATCTCAACTGAGTCTCATTTACAAACTGCTTTGATAAGCTGCCGTCTCCCTTTCCCTCCTCCAAGCATAAGCACCATCAAGGGTCCAGGTAGGACCCCACAAATGTGAACAAGGACTGGAGTGTGGCAGAAGTGTGCAGCACTGGCAGCCTGACACAGGTGACCAGACAGTCCCAGCCCTGGCCCTGACAAACAGCCTGAGAATCTCAGCTGGGATTTCTCCATGAATCTGAACGATACTGGAGACTAAATTCCAAGACGTTACCACACTGAGATCATTTGCTGACAAAAGGCAAAACTGGATGAGTGGTGAGCCAAGGGTGCTCTTCCCAGTGTAACGACACAGGTTGCATTTCCCTAGAGCTGGTACTGAGCAGGAGTGAGAACCAGAGACAGTGGTTTGGATAAGAGAAAGCCAGAACAGTGATATTGACTTCCACCCCATTACAGCTTAGTGGTGAAGCTCTGCCAGTGATTTATAAAGTGAAGGTTTCCAAGGGCATAGCAACAGCATGCTTCCTCCTCCAAATTATTTGTATTACTGTTCTACTTTACCTTAATTTAGCATGTAATTGATTTAAATGTAAAATGAGAATTTGTTTTTCCAGACATTTATTTCGTAAAATTTGATTTACTAGAAAAGTACATTATTTCTAATTTATGGCAACCCCTTCTAAACCCTTTTTAATTACACGGGTATTTGTGTTCCATGATTACCCTTCAGAGTTTCGCAACAGTATTATAATCGTACTAAGTTGTTTCCTAAAGAGAATGCTGTTTTCTTTCTCAGCTCACTGTGCCCTGAAGTTATCGTGTGGAATGCCCCATAATGAATTTGAGTGAAACAGTAAAAACACATTCTCTATGAGAACATTTCCCGCAAACTGTCCTCTAAAACACGTAGTTCTGGCTGGAGATGCAGAGACAAACAGATGGACTTCCCACAGTGGGCCCCAGAATACGGTGGAAGTGCTGAGAAGATGACTGGCTATTCCAAGTTTCCTCTATTTCTCCACTGTGTCTTAAGCCTTGCCCTAACACACTTGCCTATGGGAGCCATGCAAAGTTGCCCTGGTGGAAGAAATACATAAACATGGAAAGCACCAGCTTGATGTTACGACAAACATCAAAGAATATCGTAGCAAAAAATTAGAGAACATATTGCCTCATAATGTAACACAACTGAGGATTGAGCCTGTCCCGGGTTACTTGAAGTGGCATCTTCCAACCTGTCTAACAAAACTTGGTGGAATTCCTTCCAGAGTGCACGCTGACCTGCAACCCAGGAGCTAATCAAAGCACTCTTGCCCTTAGCCAAGCGCAATTTTATTAAACTCTTGCAGAAGTGATTACAGCAAGACAGCAGGATTCATGTTTATTACCTGAATTGTCTGGTAAACCGAAGGATCAAATCCTTTCACAGTCACCTCCCGGAAAACTCTTGGCTCCAGTTCCTCTTTGGTCAGATCACAGTGATATATAATACCTAAAACAGAGTTCGAGTTTGTCAGCTTAGTCCATGTCCATCGTTAAAAAGATGACAGTTTAGGCACTGTGATGGAGTAACGAATGGCAAGGGGTAACTCACCACGGAGAAAAACAGTATACACATACATACGTGCACTTCAGCTAGGAAAGGCTTTCTGTACAGCAAGAATAATTCTCACCACCCATACAAAGCCAGGTATCCAAAGTGGGTTAAGCAAAATGGAAAAAAAAGATTGATTTTCATAGCTACATAGCACTTATTGACAAAGGTAATGTTGGAAGAAAGAAGTATAAAGTCAATTTTAAAACCCCTCCTCTAGAGCTACCAGACTGAGAAGAAATCTATCAAGAATTTAACTCAGGTCAACATTTTTCTCTTTATGATAAAATATTTTGAAGTTACAAATCAAACAAACCCACAGATAGCAGAAAGAGCTGAGCATCCACTTGAAATTGTGGCAGACTAGCACAGGTTATTTACGTAACTGAACAGAATTTGGTCTCATATAGTTTATTTTATATCCTGATCCTTCAGGTTTGAAGGCTTTACAACTGGTCTCTGTAAAATTTTAAATGTATGTTAGGGAAAAGAACACTAAAAGTTAAGGCAACAAATCCTCTACAGAGATCCTTAATGTAATAAAATTAACCAGGGTGGACAGGACTTGATTGAAATACTGCTGCATTGTGTATGTTTTAGATACTTTCAGGAAACCAGCAGCAATTATTACAGAGGTTATGGCTATAAAAAATTATATTGAAAGGTGAAATAATGAGGAAACATATCTGATACAAGGGAATTGCCTCATTAAATCACTTTTATAGACTGTGGAAAATCAAAAGGATACAGACTGCCAAATGAACATAGATGAAAGCCAACATTTCTAATAACTGATAAAGCCTCTTTCCGTAATGGTGAATTAATACGGGTGAATTAAAAGTAGGACTACTGTAATCTGCTGGGAATTCTTTTTCTTCATTTGGCACAAAGTGACTAGCGAGCCTAATGCAGGGTGACAGGTACAAACAAGCATTAAAGCGGCATTTCCCTTAAAGATTAGGATATAGAAAGTGATGCGAGAGCATAAAGGGAAGCACACCAGGCGGCAACAGGCAGAGCAGTCATTTGACATACATGCAGCTGCCCAAGCTGGATAATGTATTGGCAAACATTACACACAGAGCAAGCTGAATAGCTGCAAATTAGGAAACCATATGATGAAGCATAAGCACAGTCATAGACTGCATTTTGGGAGTCAATAAACCTAATATTACAGTAATATGCAATTGAACCCCTGGTGCTACATTGCTTGTTCTGTTATATTTTTAGTGGCATGGCAGCAAATATCCAAAAACACAGTAATGTGGGGACTGCACTCTTTTGCTGGATGCTAAATAAATACAAAACACAAGAGTGCACACCTCAGTGTCTGACTGGTGTGGACAACAGGGATAACCATAATTTTCAGGGAATAGAAAAAATTACTTTTATGGTGCAGTATCTATGGTTTTAGAATTGCTTTATTCATTATTTCATATATATGTTTACTATTACTTTTGTTGTAGGTATAGATTAATTTGTTTCTCCTTAAGAAAAAAAAAAGTGCAGCTTCATACACAAGTGCAAATTATATTGATTTCTAATAGTAAAGTAGTAAGACTGAGGTTAATCAAGGACCAGCCCCAGAGCTTCTGTGTGGTTATTCTACTTGATAGGGTGAATAGAGGTTGCATGCAAATAAAATATTCACGCACCTACCTACAAATTACCTCTCTGGTCTGCTTTCCCCACTCTTTCCCTATTCCCATACAGTCTACCTCCATTTCTTCCCTTCCTCTTTTAGATTCCAGGTTGCTCTGCCTCAGTTAACAGAGCTACGCCATGGCAAATTGCCTGTAGATGCTAAGTGCATGGATGAAAGGGAGAAAAAAATAAAAATAAATCAACTATCAAAAGTGGCAGGCAGTGAGAGCAGCCATTGCTGGCTGGCAAGCCATGGGCTAAAACTGGCTCTTCCCCTCCATACGTTTAGCAGCTGCAGAGACTCAACTGGCTCAGCTGAGAAGACTGGCAATTTCTGGCCCATGAGGTGGGACGCAAGCGAGTGAACAACCTGAACCATCAAGCTGGGATGAAGTTAGAGGCAAATGCAACAGTGTCCACAATCTCCTCTCCAGTTGCAAAGGCTCCAAGGATCTAAACGTTGTTTAAAAGTTTGTTTAAAAGAGGAACTGGAAACATAATATATCTTATTTCTGGCTATGTAAACGGTAAGATAATAATAGGAAATTCATCACACTTCTTATCTGCTAAGCTTGAAACATAATTTTGGTAATTTGACCAATCGTTTCTAGCAAAACCAGCAAACCTATCAAAACTATTATACAGCCATTTTGCAGTGTGGCTGTGCTCTAACTGAAACAGAGCAAAAATATATGTTAGATGCTGTAGGAACATTTTCTATCATCCTATGATTCTTCCAGGGTTGTGAGTGATCACGAAGTTAAAGATTCTGAAGCCTGTCTTCCCTGTCCATATATGAATCCTGTCCTGTATTAGCTATTGATTGTTTGGGCCAGAAACAAAGAAAGAAAAAGAGGAGAGAGAACAGCAAATACTTTTTATTGTCATATACTAGCTTGACAATTGCATAAAAAATTCCTTCCTGTTCAAAATCCTGAATACTTCTTGGTGTCCCACACAAGTATTACTTAACGCTTGGGACAGCTCTGGCTTTGCAGGATTGTACAAAGAGGATTCCTACAGCAATCCAACACCACCAAGTGTTTTAAGGACAGATAGTAAGGGTACTCTGATGAGGCTATCCATAAATGAATCGCAGAGCTGTCAGAGAAAGAATTTTTGTGACTTTTATTAGTGTTCTTCAAAACAGTGATGAAAATCTTATCAAACACATTAACAATTTTCTTCAACAGGATTTGTAAACTTTTATCTTGCTGTATGAAGCAAGAGCTGTGAGAATGCTACCATTTAATCTCTAGTACAAGCCAGTCTTGAGTAATTTCCCCATGCAGGTCTCTCAAATATTAGTAGGCATATTATCTAGGCTTCATGGATCAAGGACTGGTACATTTTGAAGCGTATAACCACTACTTATTAGACAGGGGGAAGCAGCTTTATCTGCATCTTAGACATACCTAGTAACTACTAAACAACAGGAAACAAGAAAGATACTGTTACCGGACAAGGAACAAAAAAAAAAAGGGAAAAACCCAATCTTACCTGGAGATAAAAAGGAAGTAAACTGATAGAATATTTCGGTGTCCTTCTTTTGGCCGCTATACCCCACAATACTGCCAACCTCTAGGGGGAAAGTCTTGAGATGTGCACCAGTAGCTAGGTCATGTAGTTGCAGGATGTTCTTCACGTCGTGTAGGTAGCACAAAACCAGAAAGTTGGACCTCACACAAGCAACCCACTCTGCAGAGTGTGGAAAAGAAAAACAAAGCCACAGAAAACATAGTTTTAAAAAAAAAATAATCATATGTAATCCGATTCTAAAGTTCTCTAGCATACTTAAATACAAGCACCAAAATTTCTGACACGCATTGAATTTAACTCTTAAACATTTAGAAGTCACCTGTCTTTTGAAAGAAAAAAGTGAACACAGAAGTAAAGACTGACATTCTTTGGAAAGGCACTAACCTTGCCACTTGAAGCTAATCTATGCAGACACAAGAAAAAAAATAACTGATTAACCAAGATGCTTATGCATTTGGGGTACTTCAAGAGCAATACTGCTCTTAAATATCACATATTTCAATGCAAAACCCAAGCAAACATTCATCTTTGCCAGCAACACTTATGGAGATGCATGAAAAATCAAACCAATCATTTTAATTTAGACTCAAGCTAAACTAATAAGAACAAAAAGTCATGTGATCCTGTATTGCACAATGAAGTATAGAACCTAGAGGTTATTATTCATCTTGTTTATATTGCCTAAGTATTTAGGAGGCTACTCTTCCAAGCAAGAGCTAGCAGCTGTAAGAGAAGGGCAGTGATAGATTCCTCAACACATCATGTTCAAGAAACCCCATGTTTATTCCAGATGTTAGTGTTGCTAAACAGCATTTCTAAGACTATAAGGTAGTAAGAACAGGATGCAGCCCAGCGAACTCAATCTGGCAAAAGGACCCGGGAACAAAGCGCTCTGCAGGGGTTCGCTTCCTTTATGTGTCTCCTGGCAGTCCCGTGCCCCTCCAGAGCTGCCCACCTCGGCTGCACAGGAATAAGAGCTTCTGCTTCACAGAACCTTTCCTATTCTCAGTTTGTTCCTCAGAACAGAGATATGTGATTTTTTTTTTTTTGTGGAATGCTATTTTTTTAATTGGACTTTGGAAAATTCAACTGTTTAAAAAAAACCCATAAATGTCTGGGCTGGCAATTTCTACAAAAATCCCTGCAGTTCAACTGACCATCTCACTCCAATCCCCATCTTTATGTCCTGTGAAATGTAGAAACTCTTCAGGGCTCCAGTTCACCCAGAACATATCACATAACATATTTTCTCCTGTCTCCTGGGCCACTGGCTTTAGATCTTTGGTGACAAATCTATTTACTCATGCAGACAGGAAAAAAGACTGAAACATCTTCATGTCTCTAAGTATTTCTGTCATTTAAGAAACCAGTGACCCTGTTTTGCAACAACAGTATTTCAATTTCTCATTAATTCACAAATCAAATAAAAACAAGACAAAGTACAAAAAAGGGTTAAAAGTCAAATAAAAATATCTGGAAGGAGGGAATGCGGGACATTCTGTTTGTAGAACGAGGTGAGGCAGTGATTCTTGTCCTCTTCCAACTATGTATGTGCTACTTCTTCCCTGACAAGTCAGACTGGAAACCTAAATCATGGGCAAGGTACCACCAGCACTGGCCAAAGTCTTCAGATATCTGCTGGAAGCAAAAACCAAATAGATGGAATCAAATGACCAAGAAAAATCAGGTAGGACTGACTGGGGCACGCTGTAATGTCAAAGTAGTACTGTGAGATGAGGAGGAAAAAACATCAAAAACAAAACAGAAGCAAAGCAAAATTGACTGAATTGCAGTTTTACACTATTTAATGTTATTCACATTTTATCAGTTCTTTCCAGTTTCCTCAAAGTCCTATAAAACCAAATAATTTAAATTCAGAGTGGTACTGAAGTCAGTCTTATAAATGCATCTTTGCACATTCAGGTTCCAGAACAAAAGTTCAAAGTTGTATCAGGTGCCACTTCCATTAAGGGTAAAAAGCTCTTTCTGAATTGAAGGTCAAAACTCATTCTGCAACAATTACCTTCTTTAACAGACCATGCTTTCACATACAGTTCAAGTCTGTCATGACCCCCTACAGCTTGAAGACCTTCAAATCCTAATAGCTCAAAAGAGTCTACTTTCTTTTTAGCTTGCTCCTGAAGGACCAAGTGAGGGAAATTTAACACTCGTCTGACTTTCTAGTCATATGAATTTATGTTACATAAACACCAAAATAAAGCTTTACTCCTCCTTTCTTCCCAAAGACCACCACTAATTTTTTTCTTTATTCGCACAAAATGGATTATAGACACTCTCAGGTCAACTTCAAATGTTTATAATATGTAGTTTTGCTTCAGCAAGCATACTACTTAAGCTATCTTTATTTTAAAAATAAATTGTGATGATTCTTAATTCCTCACCAATCATTTGATGAAGCACTGCAGTTTAATGGATGTTTTCATTAAAGGGCAAAGTACATTATTACTTCAACTTGCATATTATGAAGAGATATTACTCTTTTATTTAAAAAGATTCAATTGCCCAGGGGTAAGGCTGCTGGCTTACGTGGGGATTCCAGCTATTGAACAACCTGCCTAGGAAGGAGCAATATTAACTCTCCATCACCTCTTTGGTTTACAAATTAGATGCTCTCAACAAAGTGAGGATAACAGATGTGAAGACAATGCAAAATGTTTTTTAAAACATTCTATAAGATTTAGGAATACAGTTTCTGTGTATAATAACTGTATTATAACTGGTTTTCTTGCATTGCAAACTGCCTCCAAAACGTAATGGAAGCTACAAAGAAATGCAAAAATTAAAAACAGAGCAAAACTCTGAAGCAGACTTGAAAAAGCAGAAGAAAAAAAAGACACTAAGAACCAACATATACATACATAGCAAGCTCAAAACAATGCTGAATTATTAACAAGAACTATTTTTTGACTGCAGGCTACAAGCTGAGTCTCTGTTACTCCCATGCTCAGCACTGAGAACTGCAGACACTGTCGAGTTTGCTGCATTAGGAGTCAGCCTCCTTGGTTTCACCCATGCCTTGCAGAACACATCCTGCATATCTCTGTACCTCTGCAAGCTTTTAAGAGTGTGTGCTTGCAAGCTTCACGTGTCTAAAAGCTAAGTCTGACACCGTTGCTGTAGACTCCTTTTAGAGACAACGGGCAGAACGAAACAAGCACTTTTAGAATGCAGTTCACCCAATTATTTTGGATACCCTGTTCTGGGATACTGTGAATTGCTTGCTGAGCAATTTCACTACACAAGTGTTTTTTTAAAAACACTAACCATTCAAGACTTCATGATACAGGGTCAGTTTATTTTCAGTTAATGCCAATGAACAGAGCAGCTATTCTCACCGTTACACCTAAATGTAATGAATTGTTCTCCAGCATATTTATAATCCACCTACTTACAATACCCATCAGGCAAAGGATTGATTTTACTAAACAATAAACACATAGAGGTTGCTTTTTCCAACCTGAGCTGCTTGGCTTAGACATCAGAGAGAGATGGACACACTTGGAGACACCTGAAAGCAGGTAGGAAGAATTATCCTTGGTACTACCCGTTTCTCTCTGGAGATGACAGTGATGACCTTGATGACTACAATAGGTTACCCACAATGCTTCAATAGCTAGATTTCAGGGTACAGGAATTATACTTCTTAACAAGGCCTAGAAAATTGAGCCCAACCGTTTCTAAAAGTTCTAGTTCAACCTTTTAGAAATCAATATACTACTACTTTCCAAAAACTCTTTTATTTTGACAGCTTTAATTAGTAGCAAAGTAGCCACTAACTTGTCACCAGCAATGTTACTATGGACAACTTTGGAAATAGTTTCAGTAAAAAAAAGGTTGAATCCTCACACCAAACATCTGTGCCACTAACCTTAATTACTTATGACAGTCCTGGCCTTTCATTTCTGCAGCACTAGCTACAATATGTTAAGTGTCCAACTGTACAAACATGCTTTGACAGATGCATGCTGAAATGTTGATGAAGAACACACCAAGCTAGAAGAGGTAGGTAACCATAAGTCTTCAGCAGAAACTGCTGAGTTATTTGCTGTACAATGTGCTTGTGCACCCACTCAACAAATAATGGATATATTTTAATGTAGCTTTAGCTGGAAAATAGAGCTGGAAAGTCATTTTGGTTTCTTTGGTCATCACAGACAGCGACCATAAACTTCAGTGTCTCAGCAGATTAACAGGTGTTCAGTTATCTCAATTAAAATGACCCGTTTACTCAAGGCTACTTATGGGTAGACTTGCAAGCAAAGCATGAGCAATTTACAGAATAAAACATGAATCATTCTGAAATATGTGAGTAAATGTTGATAAGCCCTCAGAACATATGAAAAGGCATATGTCTTCTCTCTGAGACACCATCCTCAGTGACAGCCTGCCATGTCTAAAGTTAATGGAAAAGCTCCAACCAATTTCAACAAGACAAGAATTTCATACCCCACATCTCAGTATGAGACATACAAACAAGAGACAGAGTATGAGGGGGGCAAAGCTCTTCTGAAGCTGCAAGCATCAGGAGTAACGCTTCCTTAAGTAACCTACAGGCTTTACTCATCTGTGACTGATGTAAGTTTTCCATGGTAAACAGAGTTAAACAGAGCCACAAAAGCCCTACCAGGGGAGCAGAATAAGACTTTCAGTCAGGGACGTGCATCTGGACCACATCATCTCCCCATGTCTCCGGTGACCGAGGTACTGCATTTGCCTTGCCTAGATCTTAGGGGGTGCTTTTTGTTGCTGGGAAACACTGGAACTAAGCCACATCCCAGCCAATTTATTGTTTGTTGGTTTTGATTTTTTTCCCCACATTTCACAGTAGAAGCTTATCAATCTGGTCTTTTGCGTCGCAGCCAATTTCCTCCTCTCTGCCACACTTCTGCAGCAGCCATCTCCGCAGGGTCCTTCCCTCTGGACTACACACACAAGGTCACACGACGGCTCCTCAGAGCAGTCACACAATCCTTCCGGCGCCCGCTTCGCAGCCAGAACTCTCAGGGATGTAAAGCTACGGTTACTCTGAAAAACACCACAGTGTAACGGAGCAGACAAGCTTCCTGACAGCTGAGAACACCACAAGGGATTACTCACACCCATGCACATCCTTGTCATTCAGGATCAACAATTTCGTGGTACTCATTCCAGACTTTCCCTCCTGGTTTGACTACAGTACCAAAAGATACATTTCGGCTGCAGCATCTCCCCTCCCCAAACTCTTATGTATTTATGAATAACCCAGCAGGTTAAAGGTATGGAGAAAAATACTATTGTTGACTTGGAGTGCACATTCCAGCTCAGGGAAGGGAAGCATTTTACACGCATTGAGTTTAGGTGTGCAGATGTGTACAAGGTACAGAAGCTTTGCCCCTGTTTGTTAAATGGCCAACTGAGATGCAAGAAGCTGTTCAAGATCACTCACCTCGTCTATGACACATTCAGCAATACGTTGTATTTCTCAGCCCTCCTTACTCAGGAGATCTATTCTATTTTTCTTTTCATCATCACAAGTACAGGGCTGGATATAACCGCTACTCTCAAGTTGTCCTCCTCCACCAGTACTGGGCACTGGTCAGGGGGGAGGTCACAGTTCTCAAAATTAGTTATTTAACCTCCCAAAGACAGCAGGTTTATTCTGTAATTTAGAATTAGGGTCACAGTGTCTGTACTGATCAGTCTCCACTTACAGTTTCATAGCTGCCTTTTAACTAACTCAGCACACCTACTTGCAGCTTATGTGATCATTTAAAGCACAAGTTCAACATCAGATGCGAACCTCTCCTATGGTTCTATTTTAGACTACCTGAAAATTAGAAGTAACACTTTACAAGCAAACTCCAAAGGGGAGGAAATGAGTCTCATCACATTCCAACATGTTCTGAGGCCCCCCTTAAATTTAATTCTAAAATAGCTGTATTTTTTTATTTCCTCTCAGCTCACAGAGTAGAGATGCAAATTTACCTCAACTCTGTGCGAAATCCCTGCTGAGAGTTGTAAAATGAGGTGTGTGTACAACCTTGTTGAAGGAATGTTTGTTGTTTTTCCCTTGTATTTCCCATATTAGCTCATTTATAAACAGCTCTGAAAACAAAATGGTCAAAGCCAATTAAAAAAGTCTATCTTGAAGCATGCGTTGAAGAAACTGAATGACATTCACACTGCCTTGTAGGCGTGTGTGTTTATTTCTTGGTTAGATGGTATTAGCTGTGGCCTATCCCCTAAAAACACATTACGATACTTTGTGGAATTTCTCTTTTTGCCATTGATGGACGCTGGCAGAGCTTCATAATTCTTAATCCTGAATTTATTATTCATAAATAAATCTACTTTTTGTATTTGCGTGGTGCAGCTTTTATGAAACAATCTAATTTAACATACAGAAACAAAGGCGGCTATGGCTACCAGGCAGATCACACCAGAGTAGGAGATTTTTCAGCTGAATATCCATATTTTATCAGTAAAACACATTTGTGACCTAGAGCATCACTAACTATATAACTAACGTTTATAAAGAAATTCTAATAAAGCTAATTAGATCTTGGTAAAGAGTCTCTCCCACACATATGTTAAACTGGACAAGCAACAGTACTCATTTAGCCTGTGAATCACTGCTGTCCTAGCTTTTGCAGAAGGCATTTCATTACATTGTCATCTCTGGATCACACAAAATCAAATTCACTTGACTGCAAGGTTTTCAAGGCAATGAATTATTAACTGCCTTCTGCTACAATTATGTCTTTCTAAACCAAATCTTGGAATGATTAAAACAACATGACATAGATATTGGCTTGCTTGCTGACTTCATCACGTGAAGGCGTGTTTTTTTTATATTTATGTGGGGCTACAATCTCCTGATAAAACTCCCTTGTCTTGGTGCTGATGATACAACATTGATTTGCAAGTGGCTGACACAAAGAAGCAACTGAACAATTCTAATTTACCGTACTATAGCACTAAGATCCACTTATAACTCATCCTATGGAGACAATTTCATTTGTTAATTTAATCCAATTCCTTTACATACCTCTCCAAAGAGCTAGAGCTGGAAGTGGACATATGATTGCTTACTCTTGCTTCACATTCAAATACAGTGGAAGTCTAATGACACACAACAGACTCCTGAGAGTCACTCTGATGGTTTCATATGACAGATTATGTTTGCCTTTAAGTGTTTAAGAGCTGAATGCCTGTTGTGTTTACAGTCTGAAGGCCAGTGCCCTCAGCAAACCCATTTATCTGAACTTTCAGTTTTCTAAATGCAGTTCTTGTTATGTTTGTATAGTCAAGGCTGTCACGTAGAAGACATTAAAGGAGTGTTGCACACATTAAAATTTTTTTACTCATGCACTAACATGAACTCAGCACAACTTTGCCTTCAGAATGAAACCAAAATAGAATTGAGCTAAATACTGAGTGTAGTGAAGATCAGATGGGGCCTTATTCCGGGGAAGGCATATATAGCCAGTGCCTGCATCACCTCTGGTCAAAGCTCCTTTGGCTGCCTAAACCCCATTCTCAGGTAAACTCACACACAGTAACCACATTTCATGTCAGTCACATGCTTCTGTCCCATTCTGTTTGAACACTCACTACCTCTAAGTCAATCCTTCAACTTGGTCCCACTTTATAAATTGCTGTAACTTAAGCACAGCTCCACAAACTGTCAGCAAACTGGCACCCGATCAGAAATTAACACTGGCAAGCAATTTTTCCTCTTGTCTTCTCTATTACCTGAATATAACTCTAAGTTTTAATAGAACTTCCCCCAAAACGATGGGATTAAAAAAATACACCTTCATTTCAATTATATCAAACCCAAATATTTATGTTTTGAACTCGCTTTTATACTTAAAGAGAATTCCATGCCCTTCAACTTTCCCAAGGCTTTTTTTCAAGTGCTGTCTAATCCTCTTATCCCAGGAACAACAGAAAATCCTGTCTCAAATTCTGGCCAACTCTGTTCATAGTCTGCTGTGCTACTGCCAGGGTTGCTCCTCCTCTCTTTCTGCTTACAAAGTCCCTCTTGCTGTAATGCCTGACTGTCTAGTAAATGTTTACTATAATGACATGAAGCAGGAAAATACTTTCCCCTCATTTGCTACAAACATAGAATTAAAACAAGGTCAGATGAAGCAAATTCACCATGGCCACACAGGATGTGAGAGAAAGAGAAATGGATCCTGGATCTCTCAAGTCTCAATATGTCTTCTAATCGCAAATCCTAAACAAAGTTCAAACACAGGGAAAAAGTAAGAAGGTCTGTACAAGATCATTCAATAGACTGATTACTGAATTAATTTGAAAAAAATCACAATTGAAAATCTTTGACTTGACATGAACTCTTACCTAGAACATCTCTTTCATGTTCAGGGACGAGAACTTTCCATTTGGATTCCTCTGGGTCACTGAAGTCAATGTTGATTAACCGGTAATTTGGAGAGTGGCGGTTTGTCTTGAAAGTGAACACTGTTCCTTCATTGGTGACATACTCATACTCAGCCTCAAAGTTATCTATCAGCTTCACCCATTGAAGAATTCCTGCAAGACCAAACATATAATGTAAATTCTTCACCTCCTGAAACAAAACTTTTTAACACCTGAGGGCAAGGAATTGCTGTAGGCTCTTTCTTGAACGACGACAGTGACCAGAAGAGGTACAGCTATGGAAAGGGCTGAATACGTACTAAATATTAAGAACTTATAAAGAATTCTCCAGATTAATGGATTATAGTGGAAAAATGCCAGTCATGGCCATGTTAACATGCTGGTTTTGAGGAATTTCTAGCAAAATACACAGAGAACACTGACAGAGCTGTGGCTAGCGTTTCACCAGGTTCCCTAAGGGGCTGCTGGAAATCTCAGATGTTTGTTACGGAGCTGCTTCTACCACGCCGACTGCTGTGGAGCCAACGCTACCAAGCATACCAGGTTCTTGCCACAAACCCCTATTTCTACAGACTTCTTGGAATGGGGAGTCACAGCTGAGTCAAAAGACTCCATGCTAAACCTTCAAGCTCAATTTTATTTTTTAATAACTTCTTTTAAAAATCACTAAGTATAAAAGATTTATTTATTTATTTTACTTAACAAGCTACTTTTTCTTAAAGATTTCCATCCTTCTTAAAAGCCTGGAACTTCCCACCAGATATAAAATGATCCTGTTCAAGTAAGTACAATGAACTTCAAAATCAGGAATTTCCCTGTCAATTCAGAAATAACATTCCTGAAGTGTTGTTCTGCAGAAGGTTGTCACCACCAAAGGACAACTACATACAGTTTGCTAAAATGTAAACTTTTGGATTTGAGTAGACTGAAATTGCATTTTTCTCTATCAACCTTCTAGAATATCACACTTGTACACAGAAGTGCACGTCTCAAACATGAATTGCCTCATTTTACTCACTCTGTACCACAGTCTTTGCATTGACTCAATCTGGAGCTGGGACTGAAAGACTCCACTACTTTTAAGTCACATTTTATTGTTTTGCAATAGGTTTAGAGGATAGTAGAAAGAAAAAGCAGCAAGGCTAGATCAGATATTTAATATGCTCTTATATCTACAACCCAGTTTATCAACCGAACTTACTATTATAAGCATCATCTATTAGCAATGCTAAAAAATCAGAATCCTTATTGATACATGAAATAAAAGCTTTTACATCTTAAAATAAGATTTGGCACACACACGGCCTCTTTCCTAAAACTAAAGGTTGGGTCTTTGCTTTTAAGTATAAACGAATAAACTCCGCATAAATTTGTTCATGGAACTCTGTAATAGAACGTTTGTGCCAATAAAACAGCACATCAGCTTATCTTATTAAAAGCTGAGCAGAATAATGGAAGTAGATCAGAGCTGAGCTGTAATTACTGTAAGTTTAAAAAAAGGAAAGAATAATTGAGGAAGCAATGAGATGGCGAAGGTCATTTTAAACCCATTAAATCTAATAAGAGAGTATAGCCAGGTCTAGTACATTCATAAAGCTCATCTCTCTTAATTGCTGTTTTGGTTTAAGGAGAACTTCCCTATCTCTTCATGCAAAATGATATATTAGCCAATTAAATTCTACTTTTCATACTGCTGTAATACAGACTTTCCAGACAACCCAGTCAACTTAGTATCCTTTCTCTGAGTGAACCAACTGCATGTTAATTGATTTTTGCTGAAGTCCAAAGTTTTGACCATCTCAAAAGATTTCACAGTGAAGAAAAGTCCTGCTAAGTCCATCCAGTTGCACAGAGTTCTATAGAGAAAACCTGCTTTGATGCCCAGAAAAACAAAGAACATCCAGCCTACACTGAACTCTGATATACCGATGAAACTGTTTTAAGATCTCAAGCCTCATGCACAAGCGTTTTAGCAAATAAAAACTTAACTGCAGTATAAAACCATAACAACATTGGAACATTTGTATTTTAGTATCTGACAGAACAAAACCATCCTACTAAAGAAGAACAAGCTTTCATAAAAAGAAATCCCCAGACTGTTGAAAAAAACCATTTTTTTAAATGGCAAATGGGCACAATAACTGTAGTCTCCATGTTTGCAACAAAAGTTGGATTCCATAAAAAAAGAAAAAAAAAAAAAAAGGACAATAATGTGACAGTAGGGATTTACATTGCTGCCTTGGAACTCATTCATCCACTCCCCAATGAACAGCTAGTAAAACAGCAAGAGGGTTGATGGTCTACAGGAATACACTAAGTTGTTACTACAAAATCAAGAGCATTCATCTTGTTAAAGTGGATGTTATATAGTCCTTAGAAGACAAATTTTGCAGACAAATTACCTCTAAACCATTGCCCCACTGAAGTGGTTAAATAGACCAATATCAAGTCTAAGTTAAGAGGTTGTGACGAGGCAGCTACAGGCGGTTGAAAGAGACCTTTACATCAGGTACACTTGCTACTGTAGGGAGTATGTGCTGTGGTCTTCCAGTGAGAGGAAGACACCCTTTGCAATGGGACAGATATCAGGCAGAAGAGGATGCACCTTTATGGCTGGTTGCAGCTGATCCAGCTGTGGCCCGTGACCGAAAGGGATCTTCTCGTGTGGCCTTAGATCCCCCTGCTTAGCTCTTTCCTTTGGGCTAGGAGTAACAGGCTGGTGACCAGCACAGCCAGTTCACTGGGCACCAGTATGGCTGAAAACTGATTGGGGGGCAGGGGGGGAACCATTTATCCCCAGGTCACGGCAGTGGCAGCACAATGGAAGGGCAGGCCTCTGCAGCTGGGAAGTACCAGAAGTCAAGCATATCATGTGTTTGTCTCCAAATCATAACTGGAATGTTAACAAGACCTGAAAAACCAAACAAACCCAGCCAGTCATCTTCAGCCTTAACAAGTAAGCCTCCAACTTAGCTACAACTTTCTAAATTGAATTCATTTTGATAGCTGTTCACTAGTTATTTGACATTCAGTTTGCCTTTTATCTTAAAGATGATAATTTGTTGGATCATTTCAATAAGGAAGATTTCTTTTTAAACGAAGCAAAAATAAAAATCAAAACAAAAAAATCCCTTTAATCTAATCTGCTCACAGAAAAGCCTTAAAACCAATGTAATTTTGGTTTTGTGATTCCTTATGTATAGTAAGGTCCACAATGAGTATCTACACGCAAAACTGTAACTTCAGACCGTATGGTTTTTATGTATGCTTTACACTAGAATTATAACACCTCCACCTCCTAAACTTGAATGAACCATGCATTCAGTACTACCACCATGGGAGAAGCATGTTTCCCTTGCTGTTTATTGGCTCACTAAAGCAAGTCAGATCCTTCAGACTTTTATTTAAGAGACTCCTCAGACCCTGAAAATCCATACACTCAAAAGCGTCCAAATTTCAAATATCCTCTACAAGAGGAGATTTGGAAAACTAGACATTTACTCTGGAGTTTGTCACAGAGCTAATCCACAACAGTTTTCACATTCAATAGAAAACAGATAATCTCATGGTACACAGTGTTCTTCAAACTGGAAGAGACTGTTGCAGGGCCTCAGTGGTACGTTCCTAATGTATCCTGGGAAATGAATGGCAGAGCACAGCCCATCACTGAGATGTCTGCTTCCACAGCAGAATCTAATTTCTTTGAATCATGCAATACCTCAGCTTGCTCTCAAACTCTCACTCTTAGTCAGGCAGCTATGCAAAAGAACTCAGGGTTGGGTTTTTTTTTCCTTCTTCACAGCCACAAATATTTAATTAAGTGTCACTCTAGTCTCCAAAGGCATGAGAGATTTTTCAAACAATTTGGACTCTTTGAAAGTAAGATCTCTTAATCTCTTGAGACCTGACTTCACTTATGAACGTCTGAGGGAGGGTATAGTGGAGAAGAGATATTAAGATGTCCCTGAAAGGAACACAACTTTGTTGTGTTTATACTGAGAAGGCTCTCAGTACCACTCATCCTGCAGATGATGGATGATGGCTACTCAATGATCATGGAAAGTTGATGTATTTGCAATTTAAAAAATAATTAAGTGGAAAGAGGCAATATTTATTCCTTTGAGTTAAAAAGTTCAGACATGTCAAGATATATCAGAGATTAGCTCAGAAGAAAGAGCTAAAGCACTTTTATGAGCAGAGATTTCTCTATCAGTTTCAAGGCTTCTATTTTACTTCCATCTGGATGATCACTCAAAAGACAGGAGAAGAGAATATATATGCTTTGTTTTGAGAATTATATGCAGCAGAACAGAAAAACAGGAAACAAAGGTGATCTCTGTCTCTCTCTCACATCATGCTTTCTCTAATATACACAATAAAAAGCATAAATACATAATCTAAAAAATAAATTAACAGCAGGCTATTTCATTTTATTGCTAATGATTTGCCTCAAATAAAAAGAAATACTTTGAAAGCAAAACTCTTTGGAATTGCCATTTAAGGGATTTGAAAGTGTTTTCTTAAAGTAAACACTTTTTTGTTAAGGCTTCCACGTATTTTCCAAGACTCATCTGATTTTTTTTCTCCCTATTTATTAGGCAACTATCATATAATGGCTTTGTTTCCATACGGATATTTGAAAGTGCTTTTTTTTTTTAAAGTTACTTCAATCACAGAAAAGTCTTTAAAAAAAATAAAAAAAGAATACCTTCCCTCCCACCACATTCTAGCTGATGTCTACTGTCTCCTCACTATCCTTTTTCTCTTGTTCGTTTTCATTACAAAGGTTTTGATCCACTTTTTCAGGCTACACAGCACATACTGACTCATCCCTTTGATGTTACTGTATATAACACTGTTCATTGCTTTTTTTTTTTCTTAGAAGAGAGCCTTATAAATTGCAAGAGTAAACTTAAGAGTAAACTAAAATGCAAGAGGCCAGACAATCCTATTTTCTACAGGAAGTGGACAAACACCACCTTTGTTTTTCCACCTGCCCTCAAGCCACATACATGCTTTCTTCAGTGTGGGGAAAAAAAGAACAATCTTCTAAACAAAGGAACAAAATAAAAATTGTTATGGTGGTAACCCTGCTCTTAAATTCCTTCTTGCAACCTGTCTCTGCCAGTCTAGTACAACGCAGTTCCAGCTAA